TCTCGCTTTCTGTCTCTATGTCTCTCTCTGTCTGGCGAGCGCATGCGCTCTATAGAGAAAATCTCTCAAAAAAAAAAAAAAACACCTATCGGAATGGCTAAAATAAAAAGTAGTGATCAAACCATACCTGGATAGGTTATGGAGAAAGCAGATCACTAGAACATTGCTAGTGAGAATGTAAAACAGTATAGCCATTTTGGGAAACAATTTCACAACTACTTTTTTATTTTTCAGGGAAAAATAGGCTTTTATGCAGTTTCATGTAGGGAGAACACAAGGTTGTTTACCTAGCCAAGATTGCTATAACAAATTTAAAAGTTTAAGAATCAGTTTAGATGCCTCCAAAATAGGAACCAACATTTATACCAATGGTAAATCAGGCAAGCCTGTGCACTCTGGTCTGGGAACTGTTTTCCAGCATCCAGGGTTGTCTTTTCCTGCCTCACCCCAAGATGGTGCCTTTCTGATTCAGGTAGCAGCAGGCATCCAGCATTAGCTCTGGTGTACATTCACCAGAAAGGTCCACTTTTGACAAATTTTGCACACTCCCTGGACACAGAGTGTGTATCTCGGGTAGTGTCAGAGCCCTTTCCACACCCAAAGCAAGGAGCAGGGTGGCAGCCCAGAGCACCGGGCACACAGGTCTTTCCAGCCTGCAGGGCGCCATTTTTCAATCCCCTACAATGTCTTAAAAATTAAAAAGGCACTGGGACCAGCAGTTAGCATAATGGCTATGTCACTGTACTCCCATATAGTCAACTGTGGTTCGCGTCCCGGACCCAGCAGCTTAAAGCTCACGCCGGGCGCATGTGCATGCGTGCCCAAGATCCCAAGAGGAGAATGGAAGAGAAGGGATTGTGGCATGACCATCCCCCCTGGGGGGGGATTTCTCACTTTCTGTCTCTCTGTCTCTCTCTCTCTCTGTCTGACGAGCCCTATGGCAAAAACCTCTCCAAAAAAAAAAAAAATTAAACAGGCACTGGGAACAGCAGTTAGCATAATGGCTATGTCGCTTAACTCCCATGTAGTCGACCGCGGTTCAAGTCCTGGACCCTCAAGCCGGGCGTGTATGAGTGCGTGCCCGAGTGCGTGCCCAAGATCCCAAGAGGAGAATGGAGGAGAAGGGATTGCAGCGAGGCCAACCCCCCGGGGGGTGATTTCTCGCTTTCTGTCTCTCTGTCTCTCTCTGTCACTCTGGCAAGCACATGTGCCCTATAGCAAAAACCTCTCCAAAAAAGGAAAAAAATAAACAGGCACTTATCTCATGACTTTACAATTTTATTGTTAGGCATGTATCACAGGGAAATGAAAACATACACTGACATAAAAAATATAGATATGGCCCAGTCACCACTGTGGCTAGGACCACATGAGAGACCCAGGATCAGTTCCAAGTCCAATGTAAACAGACCAGGAGTAGGTATGTACCTGTGTTCCTAGCTAACTGGGAGGCTGGGGTAGGAAGATCGCAACACAAGTGAAACCTGTAAAAAGTACCTTTCTTGGGGCCAGCAGGTAGAGTGGTGATTGAGGTGTTGGACTTCCACATGGCCAACCGTGGTTCAATTCCCAGACCTGGCAGCTTGCTTTATCACTTTCCTTCTCTCTCTCTCTCTCTCTCTCTCTCTGTCTCTGTCTCTCTCTCTGATCAAATTAGAAAACAATAATGAATAAAATGTTAAAAGTAATTCTTCAAACAGAATAAATAAGTTTCTTTCTCCCTCCCACCCATAATGCTCTCTCTCACAAATATATTGGGTTGTTGGAAAAGTTATAACACATTTTTGCATAGAAAAATACACCATGACTTTTCCAATGACCCAATATATAAATAGACAGGTAATGAATGTATGGATAACAAAATTTAGCAGTTCACATTTCTGTTAGTTTATTGACTCTTAAAGGTATATGCTGGGCCAGCAGGTGGTGTGGAAGTTGAGGTGGCTGGATCCCATGGCCAACAGCATGGTTCAAGTCCCGGACCCAGCAACTTGAGAAACATGCCAGGCTCATGTGTATATACCCAAAGTCCCAAGAGAATGAAGGAGAGGGGAACGCATAACGACCATCCCCCCAGGGGCTGATTTCTCACTTCCCCCTCTCTCTCTGTCTTTCTTTGCAGTGTGTGTGCCTTATAGAAAACTAAAACAAAAACAAAAAGGTGAATGCCATAAGAAAACAACACGTGAAGAAGATAAAATCATAAGTAAGCATCTAAGACACCTGTTTCTCAAAGTGAAAACAGATCAGCACATTATCTATGATAATTTCATATATTGTAGAAAGTCAGGTTAACACCTAGAAAACTCCTCAAGCAGATAACTTTGTAAAAAAAGATATCTAACTTTAAACAAAGTTCTTCAAGATTCTCTCACAGCTATGCCTATACCAGGAAGCCAGGTCTTCATTCCAGAGTTCAAAGGTTGCTATTGCCAGGACTCTCCTAGCTGTCTTCCTCCCATCATAAGCAGGTATTAAATCCCAAATTGCCACCTCCACTGATCCAATCAATCACTGTGGAGGAAGCATCTCTACAGAGGCCAGGAAACACCTTCCTTGTTCAGTGGCTTTTCTTTTAGAGGTTCAGGAGCTGCTGCTCACACAGTACACTTCTTTATGATTTTGACTCCATACTTTGTACCTGACCTTTTCTTACATACTGAATTCAGTAACTTCTGTCTTGCAATTTTCACCCATAATCTAATTTAAGATATCATTCTTTGATTCTTTCCTGGTTCCTTAACTATAAAATACGGTTCCAGAGTCCTTCCTTATAATTTGTACAGGCCTGGACAGAGACCACAAGAAGGCTATAGGAAAGGCTGGAGGAGCAACTGCCCTATTAGAGCAAACTTGCAGAAGTTACATCTGCATTGAACGAACAGAATTACTCAACAAGAAACTCAGCTAGAAATAGAAAATGGTTTAATATAAAACATTCCCACATCTTAACTGGGTCAAAATAAGAGGGTGAGAATATCCTGGTTATTTGACACTCCTTCACGACGGCCATTTCATTCTTCCATACTGGCATTTGTTAGAGTAGTTCGTTTCTATGCATCACATCTGAAATGCCACAAAACAAGCATTTTTCCTATGCCTATTGATTTTTTACAAAAAGGAAATCTAAGATTCTGCTCGATTTAAGCTTCAACCTTAACAAAGATATTTCAGCAGTTTACAGAAGGATTAGACTAATAAATTATATTTTTAATATTTAGCAAATTCCTTCTTGCCTACTGGTCAACCTCTTTCAGAATATGAAACATTCAAGCCCAGATGAACTGACCAGGCAGCCATTTTATTTTATTATGATCTAAAGAGGTATGGCAAGACTCAAATTTGAACTTTAAATATGTGGTGCTTAACTCAGATTTAAGAGTAAAACTGGGGTCAGCAGGGGGCATGAAGGTTAAAGCACTGGATCCCACATGGCTGGTTGCACAGTCCAAGTCCTGGACCCAGCAGCTTGAAAATTACACCAAGTAGGACCAGTGAATGACATAATAATTATGTTGCTGGAATCTCATGTAGTCAATCACGGTTCAAGTTTTAGATTTAGAGGCTTAAAACTTATGCCAGGTGCGTGTGCGTGTGTGCCCAAAAGCCCGAGAGGAGAATAGAGAAGGGATTGCAGCATGGCCATCCCCCAAGTAGGTGATTTCTTGCTTTCTCTCTCCGTCTCTCTGGAGAGTGCATGAGCCCTATAGCAAAAATCTCTCTCTAAAAAAAAAGAAGAAGAAGAGTACACCAAGCATGTGTGCATGTGTGTCCAAAATTCTGAGAGGAGAATGGGGAAGTGACTGCCATGTGGCCATCAACCTGGTGGTATGGGAGGGTTGATTTCTCACTTCCCCTCTCTGTCTCTCTCTCTGGTGAGTCCACATGCACTACTGTTCAATATTATAATCTCTATAAAATTTCCTGGGTTTAGAAAACCTCTGTTGCAAATACAGACATTCAGAATTCCTTTCATAAAGAGGAGGTATGAGACAAAGCTTAGCACACAGGCAGGATGACCCTGTGAACGCTGCTTCAACTTCTCTAAGTTAGTGGTACCTACTGATTCACCTGTGGCTGGTAAGAGCACATGAGATGCCCAGACAGGTGCTTACTACTGACCACCACACAGTAGACGTTCAACACATACTAGCTGCTATAATTAGTACATTACTGTTTCATTATTCAAAATAAAAATACACTCAGGCCCCAAATTTGACAAGTAGCAGGATAGTTTGTTTTACAAAGAGAAAATAATTTATGTCATTCTAAAGTAAAAGTTAATATGTAATTTTTAAGAAATACTAGTCTCTCCTAATAATAAAATTAAAGTAGTTATTTCTAAACTATCATTCAGTAACTCCCAAATCACAAATACTTATCATTTAATATATCTACCATCAATTATAAGTCATTATGTACACAATATTTTTTTCCACAAGATTCTTAGTATATTATGAATCTTTATGTTTTGAAGTAGACCTTTAAATTAAAAAATTAAAGTCACTGAGTGTTGGGTCAGTCTGACAGCCTAATGGTTAGGGAGCTTGATCCAATATGTCTGACTACAGTTTGAATCCCAGTACAAGTGGCTTGAGGATCATGCCAGGTGCATATATATGCATACCCAAAATCTTCACAGGATAGAGAAATAGAGAAGAGATTGTGAAGTAACCATACCCCTTCTGGGGGATGCTTTCTCTCTGTCCCTTTCTATCTCTCCCGTCTCTCTCTGGCAAGTATACAGGCCCATTGAGAATTTAAAACCAAAAAAAAAAAGGTACCAAGGGAATGATCTACACATTAAATGGTTATTACAATCCAACTGATCATCTAGTTTCCCACCCACTCAGCATTTATACATTTTAAAACTAATCTATTAAAGATTAAAGTTGAAAATTCAGACTCACTGCTTATTACAAGTGAATCACTGTAAACCAACACCATTTCCTGACCACAGACATGACTGGCATTGTAGGAGCCTGCCCTATGCACCATACCTTCTTCTCTTTCACACTGTCAGCTTGCACAGTTTCCAGGCGAGCTTTAAAGTGCTCACAATCCATTTTCAGCTGCTCTAATTCTTGCTGTTTTTTTTCCAGGTCTAAAAGAAACAGATATAAAAATACACAAGATATATCAAATTGCTAAGCTCTCCTCAGCATCTTTTGTCTCATCTTCTCTTAGTAAAAACCTATACTGATTTCTTAGGTGGGACTATTCAATATCTCTAATTTCTAAACGGTCCTTGAATAACCAATATTCTAAAAGTCCTGATTTTACATTCTTATCAGTTTTTAGTCCAGCAGAAGGACTTTTTTGTTTTCTATTTTGTGTTTTCAAGGCCTCACTTACTGCCAGACTTGTACTCCAGGCCTCAGAAAATGTGTTATTTAAAGGACTTAAGGCAGAGCTGTGAAGCCTGCCTCATGGCAAAGACTTACATCTGCTCCACAAAAAAGCAGAAGGCAGTTCAGTGAGGAGATAGAGCCAGGACAGACTGATTCACAAAGCTGGTCCCACCAACTGGCAGACTGAGTCAATGGGAACAACTGCTATAGTAGTCAATAGAGGGGGGAGAACATGATGATCAAGACAAGAAAATGCCAGAGTGAAAGGGTGGGAACTATGCATACTTCCTATCCAAGGAACCCATTTGGTTGATGAGTCAAATGGCCAACAAAAATCCCTAAAGTATCACATCAATAAATCAACCAGAAGTTTTTATCAGCTTTAAATAAATAATACTGTCAGTCAGACCCAACCACAATGGTGCACACTGCTCACTGTACCCCACAGGCTGGGACCTCATAGGAGGCCTGGGTTTGATTCTCAGTCCAACCTAAAGGCTGGATGTGGTGGCATGCACAGCAATTTAGGGAGGCTGAGGCAGAACTATAAGCTCAAGGCTGGCCTGGGCAAAAATGCAAGACTCTGGCTAAAAAAGAGCAGGGTGGAGTGGGACTGAAGTGAGGTGACAAGGCAGGGAATGGCAACTCCCATGGCAAGAATGGCATATCACAGCCTCAAGGTGCCCCTCACTGTGATAAGCATATTCTGGGGCCTCGTCAGTTTTCTTATGTCCTGATTCTTCCCTAAGGTTCCTAAACATGGAGTTATCATCAACAGGTTGGTGGTCTGTTTATTGCTATTTCTTTTGGCTGGTTGCAATTCTGGCCCAATTCAACTCTCTCTTTGGACCGCAGCTGAATAATGAAACCATCTGGTATCTGAAGCATCTTTGGCCTTGAGGAAGACATGTGCTCTAGTGCTCAGAATGGGGTCAAGAGAATTCCTTCTAGATCCAAAATCACCTCCAAACCAGACCACCTTCTTTGACTTACCTATTTTGAGCATCAACTGCCTTAAATGTTCATGTTATATTTGAACATCTTATTCTACAACACAGTACTTTTTCCATCACCTTTTTTTATGCTTTGATGAATTATGTGTCTGCTTAACCTGAACTATGCCAGCTCCACGAAATGTTTATCCATTCTTCCGAGACAAAAGATGCATTTCTTCTGAGAAATACATTACTTTCTCCCTGGGATTTGTGTATTTGAAGAAGGCTCTTGTCTGCTCACCACATGGGAATCAGCTAAGTTTTTAAAAACTGCTGCAAGACAGAAGCCTCCAGTGGGGCTGTCAGTAAGAGGCCTCCCCCTGTTTTGGAGGGAAGCTATGCCCCCACTGAATTATACCAAACTATATTTTCAGGATAAATTTATTTCTACTATCTTTTGGAATAAATTATTTTTCTGCTTTCTATGGAAAGCAAAAAGAAAAAGAGCAGGGTGTGGTAACATTTGCCTGTGGTCCCAGCTGGAAGGCAGAGACAGATGGAAATGCTGACATAAAAAAAAAAAATTAAAATTAAAAAAATTTTTAAAAACCTCATACACATACACAATTGAAATTTTTAACCTCGAGGGCTGAGAAATTATCAGTTTTTATGCCAAGATATAGCAAGATTTGAGGGGAAAAGTGCTAAGAGCTAACAGTATAACATCTCCAATTGAAGTGACAATGCCTTAGCACAGTGATTCTCAAACTTCAGTGTACATCAGAATCACCTAGACAACTTGGCAACACAAACTACTGAGCTTCCTCTACAGAGCTTCTGATTTGGTAGGTCTGGGGTGGGCCTAAGAATTTACAATTCTAAATCCCCAGGTGAGGCTGATGCTGTCTGAGAACTGCTTCAGAACAACAGATTGTCTCATCTCTCACCAAATGAAATCAACACACAACCACCAACAGCAGAGGAGGACACTAGCCACAGGAATGCAAAAGGGTAAAACGTGGAAGAGAGTGGGAGACTCTCTGTGATAGTGAGAAAGCCCCAAAGAGCTAAAAACCTAGGGATAGCACATCCCCACCTGGAAGGAAAGACTGACAGACACTGCCTAGAGTGAGTGCAGACAGAAGACAAGGGTGGGCTCTATTCCCTAGGTCTCCAAGGAGGCAAAAGAAGCCTAATGAGAAATATGTGGGGACTACCTAGAACAACATGGGCAGCCCTTCCTTCTGGAGGAAGAAATAAAAGGGGGCTCTAAGTGTTCTAGAGGCCTTAGCCCTAGAAAAAATATTGGAAGAAAGTTTAGAACTTAGAGGTAAATATTCAGACCAACTAGACATTGTGAAATTGCTTGGCAAAACTTCTCTTAAAAAGTTTCTTAGGAACTAGGGCAAAGTAACTTTGACCAATTTCTTTTCCTTTAAATCAGAGTCTTCTTCTCTGATCTTTCAAAATACATTGTGTCACAAAATGAGTTTTACTGGGATTCTCTTATCACACTAATCCTGGCCACCCATTAAATCAATTGTCAATCAAGCACTATGCTTTTTTAGAAAGAGTTGCATATTTGTAAGAAAATTAAAAGATATTTATACACATAAACTACAATCATACATGAAATATGTCCCAAATGAGACAAAAAATAAAATAAATAATGACCTAAAATAAGCTTATCTATGGTTTAAATTTTTTTTCTTTGCAATTAACTCTTGAATTTTTTCTTCTATTATTAAACTATATATTACTTAAAAGTAAAGAAGATAAGAAATTACATCTCGGGGGCCAGTAGGTGGCGTGGTGGTTAAGGGCGCTGGACGCCCACATAGCCGAAAAGCAGTTCGAATCCCGAACCTGGTGGCTTGCTTTCTCACTTTCCTTCTCTCTCTCTCTCTCTCTCTCTCTCTCTCACTTGTTCCTTTCTGGTAAAATTAAAATAAATAAATAAATAAATAAATAAAGTTAAATAAAATAATTCTTTTAAAAAAAATAAAGAAATTACAAGTCTTATCTCTGCAAGTCTTATCACACATAAAAATCTGTAGGAATTAATTCTGACCATCCAAAAGATCCTTTCATTGAGGTAATTTCATAATCTCTTGCTTTACATAGCTATATGTAACCTAGTATATAAGTTAACACATTAACAGAACAAAGCTAAACCGTCCCAGTCTGTAATAGGCAACTGCATAGAATTTCAGGGCCTCTGTCAAGGAGGCCACACCCATCCATACCAGGTACACAGACAGGCAAGTGCCTTTCTGCTGTATACGGTCGCCACCCTGTGGCCAGATAGGACCACTGATGATGCCTCCTCAAACTCCCACCTGGCATTTTCAAGTTTGCCCATTGTCTACTACAACCACCAAGAGGACAGGGTTTTTCATCAGTTTTGCTTCATGCTATGACTCAATGCCTAGACATGTATACATAAATACAGCAATACATAAATATTTGTCACATGAATGAATTTCACTTCTTTATGCATTCCTCTCCTAGTCCTTGAAAAGAGAAAAACACATAGCTACTTTGGTTTATCTCTATGTCTCATTTCTCTATAATTCAAACATATTCTTTTGCAATATTTTAAGAAAGAAGAGAAGAAATAATATGGCCAATGAGTGATACTTTATATACAGTCAAGACATTATCTTACCCAGCCACAGTATTAAATAGAGAAGGGGGCAGTCAGTCACTCAATCTAGACTCTATTTCAACTGCTAATTATTAGCATTCAAAACAAAGGAGACACCTTAATTTAATTATGTTAACTAAATGAAAGGGTGGCAAGGTCTAGAAAGACTACCAATATAGAGAAACAATCTAAATCAAAGTGAAGTGAAAAATAAGGTTTCTAAAACACCAATCAAATAAATTATATCATAGCTACAAATAAAAGATAGGGTTTCTAAAATACCAATCAAATAAATTAAAACTATATGAATGGGACCAATGTCTATCTTTTATCACCTAGTATGTTTATAATAAATCATCAACTGCCCCATGTTGCTATAAAAATGCTTGGTTTTGATAAAAATAGCCAAGAAAAAAATACCAAAACCATGGGGCTATGGTAACAAAAGGTCACAAACTGGATGACTCAGAACAACAAAAATGTATTATCATGGGTCTGTAGGCTATAAATTTGAAATCGAGGTGTCAGCAGAGTTGCACTCCCTCTGAAATCTATAAGGGAAAGACTTTCCTTCTCTCTTCCGCCCTCTGGCAGCCTAATTCCAATCTCTGCCTCCATCTTCATGTGGCATTCTCCCTGCATTCCTTCACACTGTCTTCCCTCAGTGCAGACTATCTCTGCATCCAAGTTTCTTCTTTTTAAGAGGACACCAATCATACTAAATTAGGACCCACCATAGTGGCCTCATTTTAATCTGATTATCTCTGTGAAAATCCCATTTCCAAATAAGGCTACATTCTAAGGAACTGGAGGCTGGACTTCAACTATCTTTTCAGGGGGCACACAATAAATAGTTGCCACAGCCTGGTGGTGAAAAGACCTAGAACCCTGAGGCGAAGCAGTTGAGAGACCTGAAAAAGGATACACAGAAAAAAGCAGGGATGGAGCAGTCCCGGTGTCTCCGTGTGGAGATCGCCTTGGCCACTGGCCGTCACATACTCAATCTTTTATAGGGTCTATGCTTATAGGGCAGGTAAAGGCAGGGGTTTCCTATTATTGTCTGCAGCTATTGAGCATGGTTTTAAACAAGCTTCTCCTGGCGTTCTCTGGCTGACACTCAGCTTTCTTGAACCTGGACTGCCCTGCAGTGCGGTAGCAGACTGTATCTTTA